ATAGGGCAGTTTTCATATGACTGTGAAAAGCTCACGGCACGATCGAGCACTTACGTGACACGGCAAGCAGTACGCCATTCAGACGTCTCAACACTGTCAGAACGCCAGACCAATCACATTGGTATGAAGGGAAGCTGACTTCTCCTCCCTCCTCCCCAGTCTCCTCTCTTCCACTCCTCTCCGCAAAGCGCCGCTACGCAGTCTATAGGCCCCTTCCATTGATTTCCTAGAGGAATTGCTCTGGGGACAAAAACAATACGCCGTCTTTTCTTATGCAAAAAATAAAAAATAAAAATWAAAAAAAATCATTGTTTTGTTTCCAAGAAAAATTCTTCACGGACCTCAGTGCAAAGACTATGAGCAAGACCATTGAACACGATGTGGTAAGTGCTTACACAATATTTTGGTCTACAAGATCCCAAGCTGAGCCGCAAAGTTTTCTGAACACTTTCAACAACTGTCATGTATAACTTTTTTTAATATATGTCTTACAACTCCAGTTGGCTGAATAGTCAGCCAATCCAAATGTCTTCATTCATAGTGATTCAGATTTACTTATCAGTAAAAAAACTTTTTACAATAAACATACAGCCAATTTTTCGTTTAAAATAGTTAGAAAACTCTTTGAATTACATGTATTTTTAACCAAAATCGCTTTGAACATATTTGGTTGTGAAGGAACGAATATCATTAAAGATTAAGCCTATGCGTTAAATATTTCACATATTTTCGTCTCTTTCATGTCTTTTGTAATTTTTCTCATGTATGTTATTAATAAGTAATAACGCGATTTCTCGTTCAATTTGGGATAATTTGCACTCGTGCGTACGGTCTCGTGCAATTTCAACTCTTCGAAAAACGCACAATCGTGCAAATTAATCCCAAATTGCACTTGAAACCGTGCTATTACCTACACTTGATAAACTACAGTTTTAGTAGATTTTTACTATTAATATTGCGATTCCTAAGAATTCTCAACAATGGCATTATTTTCACGCGTGAACATATCATGTAATACTTTTTAGTAATAGAGAAAAAAATAGATATTTTGTTGATGATTATGTATTAAAAAAACCATTATTACTTTATTCAGCATGGTATGTACTATTATGGAATGGGAAGGTATGGAATGGGAAGGTACGGGATGGGAAGGTAAGGGATGGGAAGGTACAGGATGGGAAGGTAAGGGATGGGAAGGTATGGGATGGGAAGGTACGGGATGGGAAGGTATGGGATGGGAAGGTATGGGATGGGAAGGTA